AATATCTTCATTTTTCGACTAGTCAACCTAGAGAAACGTATATTAACGATTAATTTTCATATTTATTCAAAAAAAAACTATATTCAAAATCAAGATATCTGTTTAATAAATCAATTCTACCACCATAAATACAATTTTCGATTAATAACTTTGAGAATATAATCATGAAGAAGTTTTTTTGATTTAATCAAAGTTTTCAATATTGTCATCAGATCATTACGTTGCTTTGAAATACACAATGAAGATAAATAACGAGTGTTATTATTAGATTTTGATAATAAAAATCGAGCTATTGGTTCCAAATCTTCTTTATATAAATTAATAGTAAGATATTCCATTCGAGAAAAAATAGTAGTAAGTAATTGAATTTTTTCTAATGTAACTTCTTTATTAATTGTTACTTTTGTTATAGTATTCATATTAGATACCAATTTTGATAATTCATTTTGTTGAATTGAAACAGAATTAGTTCGATAAAGTAATATAGAATCAAGTTTCAATACATGAATATTAGGTGTAAATTGTAAAAGTTCAATTAATTGTTCAAAAGAAAAACGATGACATTTAATAGTTAGTTTAGTTAATTGTTTCAATGGAAGAAAACGATTCAAATCAATGACAATTAAATCACGAGGTACTTCAAATGTTTCACAAAATGTTAGTTTAGTAGCATTTGGAAAATTATCAATGGATTTTTTAATCATATTTATACTATGAATACAAATATGATGAATTGGATCTTCATTAATATCAAAACGAGATGACCAGATATTTTCGACTAGTTCATCATACAATACATAATCTTTTCTTCTAAAAAGAAATAGATGAGAAAATATAGTGTAATATATAAATTTTTCTTATTTTTACCTATATGGATTTCTTGAATAGAAGACAGCAGCATTCGACCATGTTATATGATGATAATGATGGTCAAAGAACCATTGATGTTCTATCCAAAATATTGAATTAAATTTATTGATAAGAGTTTCAAATGCTTGACGTTCATCGTAGGAATCCAATCCACGATATGAAAGTTGAAAATCAAAGATACGTAGATTTAACATATAAGTTGAAATTAATTGTTCCCATCGATCAGCATTTAAATATTGTGTGCTATTAACGTAAAATCCAATATATTGTATTGCAATAGTTAAAATTTGAATTTGACGAAAATAATTTGTTACTAAGATTTCAAAATCATCAAAATTGACATTATCTAATTTAAGTGAAACATTTGTTAAATAATTTAAGCTTATTGAACCACTTCCGGTTCGGTTGAATTTAGGTTCCTTTAGATTACCAATCGATAAACGACGTAGTTGTGGAACATAAGATAATAAAATAGGAAGTTGATCAATCGAAATTTCATGATTAATGATGAGATGTTCGATAGTACTAAATTCATTTGTAGCAACAGGTAATGATTTTGGACATTGTAATAATTCAATTAATATTTGACAGTATTTCAATATAGGTAAACGAAAGATTTTATAATAAATATTCTTGTGATTTTTAATAGTATCAATCGATGTGATAATCAATGAAGATAAAACAGGTAAACAAGATAAATGATTTACAATTTGTTCAATATAATTCGATTCAATATTATTTAAAATAAGTGTTGTAAGTTGAGTTAAATTTTTCATTATTGGCAATAGTAATAAACATAGATCAATAAATGGATTCGATAATCGAAATAATTCAATTCGATAAGCACAAGGTTTAATAATATGTGTTAAATAATGCTGTAATTTAGATTTTGATATAGATGAAATATTGATTTTAATTGGAAGATTTGAATTAAGAAAAAGATCTTGAAATCTTTGTTTAAGATCATAAAAAGCTTGAAATGCATGATGATAATTGAGAAATTCAAATATTTCATAAATAAGTTCATTTGAAAGATTTTCAAGAGTAGGAATATTTTCTTTTATTAAACTGAAAAAGAAGAGAGATTTGATAAAACAAAGAAATAGTTTTGTAGTAAACAAACCAGTTTGTTTCGTTTACTGTTACTAAAAAATAAAAGATGTGTTCATTAAAAAAAACCAAATATCATTTTTTTTACCGTCAATCTTTTTCCTTTTGTTATCATTATTATCATAAATAATATTATTTCGTCGTCTTTTGATT